ATTTTCTGGACGAATTCATCGTTACTAGGCAAATTCAGAGGTTGTAGATCGCATCCACTGGAATACTCTCGCTTTTATGTATACTTTATACAGTCAATAAAGTGCGCCCTCTCTAATGAATTAGTTTTTGTACTTCGCATCTCGCACAATGCGGTCGTTCGATTAAGGCTGAGATATGTTTGTGTCAAAATCTCAGTCAGAATCAGTTTTTTAACAAATTTGAAATAATTCCTATGAAATATTATATTTCACAAGTGTCATTACTAGCAACGGAAAATATCATGTCGGCCGTTTTTATGTGTGATAACAGAACCTAAATCGAGGTAAGGCCTAGCCTAGCAGCGTTGTATAGGCTAATGATTTCGGCGCCTACGATATTTCTTCTCACGACCTATCGCAAAATCAAACATGAAAATTCATCCGCATTTATTTTTTGTGTGGAACACAAAAAAGTGGAACATAAAAAAAAATCAAATTTCAGTCTTATTTCACATTTTTTTCATTCTTAGGAATGTCTAAATTCCGTTAAACTAGCAATTCCGTATTACATTTATAAATCTTTATAACATTATACAAAAATTAGATTTTTCTTAACAAATTAAATTTTGCCGGGAATGGGGCTTTAATAACTTTGGTGGAAGATGTTTTGCCAGGGTTCTAGTTTCAGTTCCTGTCACTAGGAATTCATTGCGGTGTGCAATATGGTGATACATACAAGTTGAATTGGCCTTTTGTGCGTGAACTGGAAAAATAGATCAAGCAAACTGTGTACTAATGAAAAATTAGGGGATAGGAAAATAACATTGGAACTTACAATGATGACATCACGATTGACTTATATTAAAATGTTATTTTTTGTTAATCAAGAATGATTGCTATATTGCAAATTGAAATTATTAATATTCCTGTCAGTGAAAATTGAGCTGTAGATGAAAACGCTTTTTACTTGCAGAAGTTATACTTTGATCCTTAGGCAATTACAATCAACTCATTTATTAATAATTTGAACCCAAAACCACTATATAAGAGAAAAGGTGACAAATCAGTTCCACAAATTCTACAGTTTCATTGAACGTAAGTAACCTGGAAATGTGCAGTAATCAACATAGGCACTGCAGAAATATCACATGGGCTCATTCTGTAGAGCAAGTCATTTTACATACATGATTGAGATATTGAGTTACTAAGTGATTATTTCATGGAGAGCATATTACTCATCAACTTCATGTAATGCCTAATTACGGCATCTACAGTAGTTATATCGGATTTTGCTCACATGAATAAGATTTTAAGTTACCAAAAACAATATTTTTATCATTTTATTTATTTATTCAGCTTTAGGCACTAGGACCAAGAATATGTGAACTTACAATAATCACTCTTCAAAGTGGCAATCCCTCACAAAAAACTGAGCGTTTGGCTAAGTGGTATGGTACCTGCCTCTTGCACGCCAGGGCCCGGGTTCGATACCCGGCTCTGCATCAAGTATTGAGTTCGGGTCTTTTATAATAACAATAACGCTCAGCTCCTCCTATAACCCTCTCAGGAGAGTTAGGCGAGTTAAGGACCATGTGTGTATCAGTCTGTATCCCTTTGATGTTGTAGAATAAGTCTGGTAGTTGGCACCCAAACATGGCAGCCGCTGGTCCCTGGGGACCCAGCCCGAATTTATCAGTGTGTAGGCATACATATACAAGGACAAATAAAGAATTATTATTATTGTTATTGTTATTGTTTGTTATTGTTATTGTTATTATTATTATTAAAATACAGACAATGCTTTAAGCTTGGTTTCCATAAAATCCACGCTATTGCCTACAGCTTTTGGTGATCCTGATTGGTCAGTCGAATCTGTGAACCTTTCCCATTGCGTCAGGGACTGCTGCGTAGTACAACGAATACATTTAAAACATGGTGTAGCAATTTTAAGGAAACCAAGCTTATATAGATGAAGTCTTATTATAAGGCTTGTGGAGAAAAAAAATCATGTTACCATGGTAGGAATTGAACCCAGGAGCCTTGGATTTTGAAAGCAAACATCTTAACCACAAAGCTATTCAACTCAACCTCATTAACCAATAATAATATTATTTAACATTATGACCTACAGTTATGTATTTTCAAGTTAATATAATTTTTAATAACAAATTAATGTTGTGATTTTGGAACATGTCTTGAATATGATTTTGATGTAAAAGTGATGATTTACTATTATGTACAGTGGTATTACCTTAATAAAAGTTTTTTTTATATTTTAAAATTCTATTTTCTGTGTATATTTATGTCCATGCTGAATCTTTAAGTATAAGTGTTTGAGCTTGTGGGAACGAGGTTTGCCTCATACTAGATTCCCTCCACTGTACTAAGCAAGAAATAAAAAATAAAACACTCAAGTAGTTAAAAATTATCTCATCATCTCTTTGCACCAGCTACCACCTGCATTTTCCAATCTTACTCCCTATCATCAGCATCCCATAATAATAACCCCTAGATACACCACTGATGTTATCAAGCATCAAATTTCGCTTTAATTGTTGTAGCTATTAATAAATATTTTTCCAATGCTAATACACTTTAATTGATTATTCCTAGTATCATGTATTCTAATAATAATGTCACTTTAGATTATGATCATTATCCAAATTTTATTACAGTATGTAGAAATATAAAATTAATGTTATATTGTGTTCAAGACTTAAAGGCTACATTAAAAAGTTAAATGAAATTAAGGTAGCACTAATCAACAATTGATGTTAAGACAGATTTATACTATACTATACCAGATATCTAATCAGTATTGCCAAAAGCTGTCAGCGAGTGTATGTAGCTATTTTATGGAAACTAGCTTAATGACTTGCTGTAGTATATTTTAAGTAATTGTTATATTAATCTTCCAGCTAATTTTGATGATGTATTCAATATTGCATTCTGATCAAAGGTAGTCATAATGATGTATCAATATACAGTATTGGATCCTACCAATTTACCAGAAAATAACATTTCATATCTGTGTGCAAGTCTTGTAATGACTAGCTATAGTAAGTAATTGAACTGTGGAATCAAGTGTTCTTGAGTGTTCTTTGCAAAGATGAAATTACAGTAGAAAGCTCAAGATCACATATGCGGAGCTACTGTTCTGCAGTTCTAATACCCTTTATGCCCAAGATAGGAAAGCAAGAGGGAAAGGATATTATGTTATTAATGTATTGTAAGTAATGATTTATAAGGGTCTCTAGTGCTAGAACTTCGTAGAGAGCATAAACAAACATAAAACAAATCTTTTTAAAAAGGATACATAGTACTGTATATACAATACAGTATCATGTATAGTACCACAATATTTTTAATATGAAAAAAAATGAAAATATGCAAAAATCGTTAATCAAGCAGTATTAATTTTTAATGCAAGGCTTAGGAAAACAAATTTTATGTACTTGACAATAAATTGGAACTTGAAACTTTAAGTTGTCTGATTCATTTTCAAAAGGATATCTAATTTCATTTGCTTACCACAATTTTGCCATTGAGCAACATGTACTGCCTGATTCTACTATGGAAAATGTTCATGTCAAAAGGTTTTTATATAAATCAAATAATTTATTAACTTACTTTATACAACGACTTAATACAGGAAAAGTTTTATTTATTTGTCTATTAATTGCTGGGGAAAGTTTTCTCATTCAAATTTTAATTATAATAAGTTAATAACTTCCTTAAATATACAAGTAGCAAATTAGGCAAATCAAATATGGAATTTAATTTTTCAATTTTTTTGCGCATGACAGACAAACCATAATTCTTTATATAGTTTGCTTGAGCTGTCTAGAGTAGATTGCCATTGTTTCTGTTATTTGCGTCAGGGTAAATGCAAAAATCTAATTGAGAATTAAATTGAATTCTAGGAAAATAAATAGATTTAATGGTTGAATATTTGTGCAGGGTGGCACATGCCTTTACTTTTAAAATGTTAAAATAAATGCAATATATGTCACTTCAGAAAGTATCTTGATCTTATAAAAAGTGTATGAAACAGATGCATATGTTTTTATCATATGCTGTATTAAGTGTACATGATTTTGTCACACATGAAATCATGTTTACCACTTAAGTGGTTAGAGTGTGCGTCATCAGTCAAATCAGATATGATGTTTAGACAACATCACAACCTCTCATGCACTGAATTAATATTACTCTGAGACAGAGAAGAGATAAATCAGATTGATAAAAATAATTCTGTGAGATAATGATTTACCATAATTTAACCACTGATCTACAACCATACCATTCAATTAATTTCTTCAACTGGTCAAACTAAAGGCCTACTGACAAAATTGCTGATTCACTAATTACTTTAATCCGTCTTGATGATGTTATTGAGCATTCAACAATTTAATTATGTGTGATCCTGCATACCATGTTCCCCGAGTTTGAAGTCAATATGTTTCTGATTATTGTTTGTTATATTTATTTGTGTGTCTATATGCAGCTCAATGACTCTATAAGTACATTTTTTTCAAAATAGTGACAGTTTACATAACATTATTTTAAAAGTCAGTGTGAATTTATTAATAAAATTCATGTTATGAAATGGAACTATAGCAATTTAAACGTTGATCGATTTAAAAAAATGAGCAATTCAGTTTGAATGGAGTTCTTTAGATTTTAACATTTGACAGAAAGTCATTAAAAATTAAACATACTCTGCAGTACAACTTAATCTAGTGTTGCACCTACTATCTTGAATGTACTGAACATAAGACTCTGAGATGTACTTGTTATAGTGCCATCATGGTGCCATTAAAATTATCATGATGATTAACTTAACCAACAAAAAACCTTTTAATTTTGTATGTTGCCATGATTAATTTTGGATTTGTTTTATATACTTTTTACCGATTAATAATTTAATATTTAATTATATTACAAAATCTGTAGGTATTTTCTTTGTATTTAATTCTTGTTTATTAAAAGGCAAATGGTTTTTGTAAAAAAAGACCGTTATGTTTTTTATCCATTTTAAAATAAAGTTATAACTCGTAAGAATATTTTTCTACCTCATGTTTAATAATCTGAGTTGTGACCTGTGTCAAACAAGGATCAATCAATCATTCATGTTGATAAGGAACAAGGACATTAATGTTAAACCTTTTTACAATGCACTATGATGAATGCTATTAACCAGACGTTTGTCGCAAAGCATTAAAGAAAACAAACTGGCTTTAATAAATCTGTATCAAGTATTAACTGTCAAGTTTATTTGAAATGTTATATAGTTGATATTAGTCTGCCAGTCACTTTTATTTAAATATCAGGTATGAAGATGTTTATTGCATCTTATTTCTCTGAGGAAATAATTTTAATAATATTTTCAAGATCAACTGAGATAGTTGTCAGCAAGAACAATAAACTCTATATAGTATCTATTATTCACAAACAATATTAGATATTTGATAAAAATGCAAAACAAGTAGATTTATATGAATTTAGAAAGTGGTAAATGTATATTTCAATTAATTTTATATCATTGGGCACTGTACAACTGTATGTGTTTAGATATCACCATGTTTAGGAAAGAGCTGATGAGTTTAGTACTATAAATGTTCACCCTGATTGACAAAAAATTAATTCATGGGGTGGGAGAGTTGATGTTATGTGGTAGTCTGTCATAGTACATTAACCAGCATGTACTATGACAGACTGTCAAATTACATCAACTCCCACCCCATTATTTTTTGTCAGTCAAAGTAGTCTGTCAGTGCATTTAACTAGCATGAATAGGTTCAAAATTTATTATGAACATTAACTTATAAAAATGACATTTTGAGTTCAGTGTACACTTGATATAATAAAAATGTTTGTTGTTTAAATCATATGCTTACTGAGTGTTTCAATGCACTTTATGTTATTATGTATTATTATTGGGAGTACTGTAGAAAACACGTGCTACTAGCTCAGTTGTTTACTTAACATTTTGCTTAAAAAGATGATCTAGTTTCAGTTTTTCCAAAGATGGATTGATTGATTGATTGTAATGCAAGTCCTCAGTTTCCTGTTCTATAGAGAATTAGTTTTCATAAGAAATGTTTAGATAACTGTGGTTATGAGATTAACTTTGAATCAATCATAATGAAAAGTAATCAGTTTTTGTTAATTATAATGATAATTAAATCTTGCAGGTAGAGGATTTAATGTAAGTGGACTGTACCATATCCACAATATGTAATGAAGTTGAAAACGTTTTACTTTGCATTCAGTTCACTTATGGGCATGCATGATCACTGCATCGGCGAAAATGATCCATTAATTAGAAAAGCTATTTAAAGGACATCTCATCTCAACTGCTCATTTGATCTGGTGAATTGGCAATGGAGAAGTTGAACATAGCAATTTGAACGAAATTCCAGCGGCATATGCTAACAGATGTGTCTTCAGAAAGAGCTTTATTAAACATTTTTGTTTGCTGTTTCATATTTAAGTAAGAATTTCAGCCGTGGGCTTCATGTTTGAAATCTTGTTACATACTGGCTCCTAAAAAGACTAAATGTGTCACGTCGGCAAAAAAGCGAGGCAAGCATTCACTGTCATCTCGATTGGTGTGATATTCACAGCCATAATGGTATGGTTTTACCTGTCACAGTCTTACAATTTGGAATATAACCTAGGGAAAGATTTCATCTCAATAAAACCTAAATTTAATAGTTTAACAATTCGTAATCTTGAAGAAAAGCTTTTTCAAATGAGATTTGGGTCACAGATAAAGAGCCCTGTCTACGCTGCTGATTGCAATATTCACACAGGTATAATGAGTGCGTGCATAGATTGGATTAATGCCACGAACAGTGTTACTTACGCACGGGCCATTATGAAATATGAGGACTTAGATGGGGATGTGAATTGTTTAAATGTACATTGGGAAGTCTATTCAGCAGATTTTCAACTTGAAGATTGTATATCCATGGACATTGGTCATTGGTATGGTGGGGCCGAAATTTATCATTTAAAATGGCCACTGGAAAAAAGTAGCATTCCTATGCAACCATATGTTAGCATGGATCTAATTGAACATCATCAAGCATATGGGTCGGTCCTTGAAAGATACTGGTTGTCATCAAATGGAATAGCGATTATCGTTGATAAAACAACACCTTTACATGCAAGCATAAATGAAGGTGACAGTGAGGAATTATGTTTAAGATCTTCATACAGAAACTCACCGTACAAAAACCCATTAGGCATCCTTCCGCATTTAAAGTACTCCATATGTCTGAGCAAAGACATGAGAAAAGTGCACGATTTTATTGCAAAGAAGAATTTCAAGAAGCCATTAGACATGCCTGATAAAAGAATGTTTGAGTCGCCAATTTGGTCAACATCAGTGCGGTACAAGAAAAATATAACACAGGAACTTGTGCTGAGCTATGCAAATGAAATAAAAGAGAACCAGTTTCCATGCAGTCATATTGAAATTGATGATTTTTATAATACACAGTATGGAGAAATAGATTTTGATTCACAGAAATTTCCAAAACCTCCTGAAATGATCCAACAACTTCATGGCCTCGGATTCAGAGTCGGCTCCTGGTTCCATCCATTTGCAAATTTCTATTCTAATTCTTTCAAGGAAGGCCTCTCCAATGGATATTGGATCTGTGACTCAAAGAACACTGTTCCTGGTCTTGTGAAATGGTGGAATGGCGTCGCAGCTACAATCGATCCTACAAATCCTGAAGCGGCTGAGTGGTTCCTTGGCAGGCTGAGGAACTTACAGGAGGTTACAGGTATCGACTCCTTCAAATTCGATGCTGGCGAAGCACAATTCCTTCCATTATATTTTTCTTCCAATGAGACACTCAACGATCCTAATTTATATTGTTCACGTTATGTCAGTATGGTAGCAGAGATGGGAAGTATGGTAGAAGTACGTTGTGGTCATCAATCTCAACAATATCCGGTATTTGTACAAATTATGAATAAGGACTCGACTTGGGGCTATGAAAACGGTCTTAAAACATTGATCCCGTCAGTAATTTTGTTTGGTATTCTTGGATACCCATTTGTATTACCGAACATGATTGGTGGAAGTGGGTACATAAATGGTAACATCAGTGCTGATGATAAGCCAGAGAGAGAGCTTTTCATTCGCTGGTTGGAGGTAACTGCTTATCTTCCTTCAATGCAGTTCTCTATTACTCCATGGCAGTATGATGATGAAGTTGTCAGTATTGCAAAGAAGATGGTGAGCATACACAATGACAAGGTCGCACCTCTTGTACTGGAATTAGCCAAAGAAACCCTTACCACAGGTAAGCTTTCCTGTATTCAGTGGCATGTACAGTATTGAGGAGATCTTGTCTCTTATACACATCTTTCCAGCGGCATATGCTAACAGATGTGTCTTCAGAATTGCTAATGGGAGATTGCTTGATAGGAAAATGATCGGAGGGTGTGAGGTAGTTTTAACTACTCAAGTGTAATTTCCTTTCTCAGTACATTTTCAGTGGGAGAATCTGGAGACTTTCCTGGGAGTGAGGGGAGAATGCTTGTCACTGGCTTAGTACCATTATGTTCACTATGCTTCATTTCTAACAACTCTTCAGTTATGAGTGAAATCTGGAATACTGTGCTCTACAGAGAAAAATTGTTTATATTCCTAATACAAAATTTATTGACAAAAAGATACAGCATTTTTTATCCATCATGGACTCATCCTCAAGATAAATGAGTAAAATGTACCATAATAAAATTCTACCGTGACAGTAGAAAGATCACATAATTAACACCTATTGTGTTAATGGTGTTAAGCTACTGTATGCCATGAAGCTATAAAAGGTTAGCTATAGTATGTTCGATGTACAACATTTCATATAGAATGTTTTTTGTTGACGATTCTCACCATTTCACATCAGTAGTTGCTAATCATGTCAAGTAATATTGTTGTTTTTATTTTACATTTCACTTGCTTCCTCTTGCAGTTGATTAATATGATAAAATTATTTAACATCAGTTATTTTTTGTTAAATTTCGAAATTTAGATTTTCTGTATTATAGCATTAGTTGATTTTTGATGGAAAGTCACCATACTAATAATATTGTTGTTATTATGTTGGTGCTATAAAAGTCTTCAGAATTATTATTATTAATATTATTGTTATATTATCTATAAATATTTTTTTTTAATGCAAATGTCATGTGAGGACATTACACTATGAAAAATTTATATAACTATATTTGTCTTTGTTTCTTTAAGGACACCCAATCATTCGTCCACTGTGGTGGATTGCACCAAAGGACCCCAATTGCCACCAGTTGGATTCAGAGTTTCTCATTGGGGATTCATTCCTTGTTGCACCGATATTAGAATTTAAAGCGAGAGATCGTGACATTTACCTACCAGCTGGTCTTTGGAAAGATACTTCAACTACGAACAAGTATCCAGGTGGAAAATGGATTGAACATTTTTCAGTTCCTCTGGATCATGTAGCAACATTTGAAAAGATAAGTGAGGAATAAAAAAAATAGCTATTTGATAATCATCAGTTTGCTTTCGCTTTACAGCATGCTGTAGCATCTGCAAATACCATTCCATAACCATCAAGGGTTTGTATAGTTGGCTGGGACCCCATTTTCTTGTGGGCCTCCCTTTGATAATCTAAATCAAACTACAGCATTATATTCAAAAGTGTGCTCAGTTTTTGTTTCATTCAGAAACAAGACAAAAGACAGAAAAAGTGAACAATATGGAAAGGTACAAGTGACAATAAACCAAAGATTTACCCGCGAGTTTCAAAATATACTATATAAACCTACATTAACATAGAAATTTAAAGATTCAAAGAAATAAAAAAATAATATTGCACAATTTGTATTACCAAACAGGCAAAGAGAAGACACTCATTAAACACTCATGGACTAAAAAAGTTCATGAAATATAACAATTGAAATAAACATTTTCAAAAATAAAAAAAACTTGCATCAATTTAAAGACTCAAAGAAGTAAAAAAAAAAATGTAACGAAATTCACCATTTACATTCTAGAATGCTTCAGAACAAGGATGCCTTTCTCCTGACCCACACCAGAGCCTTTTCATTGGACCACACAAGGGTGATTGATATTTGGCTCTCATATTAAACTTACCCCCTCCTCCACCCTCAAGCCTCTTAAAGAATCCTGGTTATGGGCTTGTTGTTATCTAGGGTTGATATGTAGCATAGAGTGGAATGTAGGTTATCCAGTCAAAAAAACTTAAGAAAATAACAAAAACACTGACAGGCAATTGAACTGTTATCAGCATTTTTCTGTCGTCACTTGTCATGAACACTAATGCACCTGATGCTGCCAGATCCATTTGAATTTTCTAATGTTAAATTAATTGGTCCGTGTTGAAGCTGTTGCTACATTTTGGATTATGTCCCCAGGTACTAAAACGCCGTTTTTTTGCATGTTTGTGCGTGGTTGTTTATGTATTGGAACAGGATGTGAATACTTGATTATGTGATGCACAGAGGATGCAGTTGTTGAGGTGAAAAATGGGCCGTGTCACCACAAAATAAGGCAAATCACAATAACATATAAAGGAAATGTAATACACTGATTTTAGATATTATAGACCATGATTGTAATCACTAATAACTTTTACATTTGGCAAAAGAATGAAGGATGCTTTGCTATGTCAGGTGATTATGAATACGTAAATTACTTTCAGTTTATTTTGTAAATACATACCTTGAAACAAACTTATAAACAGTTTTGCTGAGATAAGAACCAATTTATTTAGCGACAATGAAGTCTGAATTAGACATCTAATTCCAATGAAAGTGTATATATGAAATACTATACAAATTATAAAAACATTTATTATTATAGATATACTTTTAATATTAGTATAATTTATAAGGATTAGAAATTTACTAATTATGGTAGTTGGTATACTTAAGTCACATAAACTAGGCAAAGTATGTCACTCATAAACTAAAAAAATTACAGTTAATGTATGTAAATTTTATAACTTTATATTTTTAGGATATGTTAACCAAATTTATACTTGTTTATAATTTCAACTTTTATAATTATCCCATAAAAAAGTTCAAGTATTCTACTTTATGTAGTAGTGGTAGAGCCAAACCATTTTGACATAGGGAATGTGGATTGAAATACGTGGCAAGGGGTAAGTAGGGAGTGGGCGGGGACATACAGAATTAAGGCATCCAATATTTCAACTGAATTTTATATAATTTTTACATAGTATTCATATACATCTAAAAATACATACATACTTTTTTTATAAGCCAAACTACGCTCTATTTTAAATTTCCCTGTTATTTCTTTGAAATAATCTAATAAAACTAATGTGCAAATGTTGCCTGATACTGAATTTGATGTATGCTATTAACTAATTACTTAAACTCACCACATTGCATTGAACCCTCACTCAAAAGGAGGATAGAACATGATGGATAGATGAACATTCTACTTTTTAACGCTTCAGACCAAAAAAATGTATTATTAGTATTATCCATACTGATATTGTATTTACAAATGAATATTGATGACCATAATTTCATGGAAAATGCTTTATTTATTATTAGCTTTCACCGCTTTTATTATTTATTCATTCTTTCAGAATGATTGAGTTGAATGAGCAGAATCTGTAATTTTAATTAATATGTGTATATATTAACGGTAAGGCTTAACGCTATTGTTGATTTGAGACATATAATGAACCAAAGTGCATTATGAATGCTATCTTGCATGTAGTCGTATCAAAGGTCAGTAAGGCAAGCTATGTAAACATTTATTTTCATGAGCATAAAACAGAGAAAAAGATAATAAAATGATAATTAAATTGTCAAAAATGTTCATATTCTTAATTGTGTATATACATGTAATGCCAAGATTCAAATATACATGTTTTACTTTTATTAGCAGGATCCAGAGATGTCCGAAAGGGGGCCGAAAGTGGGGCTGATCGAGATAACACCACCGTGGGGGTCCAGGGGCATGCCCCGCTAAACGGTTGTTTTCTAGACGCCCAAAAATAGCCTCTGAGGCGTTTTGAGCTTTCTTTTTTTTTTTACACTTTCCAAAAGGTGGGGGAACAGGGCCGGCCTGGGCCTCCCCCCCCCCTAAATCCGCCCCTGATTAGAGTTTTTATATAGTTACAGAATATTTGTGTTACTATGGCCATCATACTTGTGCAAGAGCACCACGTTGATTGCAATAGTGGCTTGCTATTGCAGTATGGTGTGTACCTTTTACAGGGGCCAAATAAGACTTCCAGAGGTCTGGTTTTTTTTAACACAAAATTGTATTCTGCTGATTGTGGCGATACTCATGGCCAACTTACATAATTAGAAACATTTGAAAAAATGGTTGTAAAAAACATCCAAATATCATGAATTTGTGGGAGTGGTTAGCTTCCTGGGAAATTTTGCTTGATCATGGGAGTGAAGGAATTGTGCTGATTTTCTGGGAGATTTTTGTGTGTTGCAGAAGAAATCCTTACCTTCCTTTTATTTGAATTAAGGATTTACATGTGCCTAAAATCTTTAAAATTTGAAACAGTTCATGCTTCATGGGTGGATCCAGTATTTGAAAGAGAGCAGTCCAAAATGTTTCCAAATAACCCCGAATTGATTCTTAGACGGCCAGAAATGAGCTTCCCTCACTTCTGAGGAGTTGTTTAATGACCTTTAAGTTCTTCAAAATTCAAGGTTTTGCCCTCTTGAAAAAGGTCAGGTAATTATATATCATTCTTTAGGCCTATACATAGAGAAAAAAAAAATCAAAAACATAAGCAATATATAATTATATTCCAACAATACTGAGTAGTTGGATACATAATCATTCTTCCATGGATCGATGAAATGATGGGCCTGAATGCATTTTCGTACATAAATTATTACGACGTCGAACCAAAAACAGTGTGTATAATATAATTTTATTTAATTGAAGACTAGGGCTAAGACTAGTTTGTCTGATCTGCCAACCTATGCCTAGGTACTGTACGTTAGGTTTGCATGACGTTTGTAAGCCAGACCCAGTAGTGTTTTGTTAAGTTTCTTCGCAGAGGGCGGCTCGTCTGAACCCCACTGGAACCACCACTGTGCTTTGCATATTCTTATAAAAGCTCTTTCATTGTTTCAATTTAATTTTGGAGAATGTGATAAAGGTGATGAGATTGATGATGATGACAATGAAAATAATGATGATGATGGTGCCGTACACTGTACCTCACAGACATTGTTCATTTTTAGTGATATTTATTTTTAAATATTTGTCTAGATTTTCTATCCTTTTATTGTTCTTATTGTGTGATCACTGATATAAATCAATTTTAATTTTTTTTTTATGTAATCCTATAATAAATGCACATTCACTATTTCATTTCATTTCGTACATCGACATTACATGCTTACTTTTTAGTGTAAACAGTTTCATCAGTCGCAGAACAACTGGACTGAAGGAAGTAGCAACAATCAACAATCACACTGATGATAATTGGTATTTAGCGAAACCGTTTACGCAAAAAAGTAAGCATAATAGTTTTATGTATAAGAAATTATTAAAGATGCAGCATTGTTATTTTGTATCCACTGCTAATTTCAACTTGTCCTGTTTTTTTTTTTGTATCTCTCTTGCTATGTGTACAATATTTAACCTACCAATAATTTATCACTGCATTTCATGTAAAAATCTTATAAATCTGCATGATGAACTCTGCTTTCAAAATAACTTATTGTGGTTATGCATTAATTAATTACTACATAATTTCTTGCAATGATCATGATTAATCAATATTTTAAGGTTCTTTCCCATTATAGGCCATTTTAGTCGAGACTTTTTATACCTTGTTTAGCTAACCCGCCTAATGCAAATATTGATGATTTGGAAAGCATTTATCAATCTCATTACTACACTGTTTTGTTCATTAGTAAAACAAAATTCTATTTTTATTTTCTCCACCTAGATAATTTTGGCAAAATCATTTTGCTAAATGAGAAAACAAAATTTTATTGTTATTTTTTTCCCACCCTCCTCTGACAATCTTTATGAAAATAAGTTCTCGAAACAAGATATAAAAAGTCTTGCCTTAATTTGCAATATTCTTTGCAATTTTTATGTATTCCATTTACCTGGAGGTTTCCTATATTTTCAGATAAAATCTCAATTACTTTTCATATCAAGTAATTTTTGTGCTTCCATGACAGTTTTCAGGAAAACCAGAATACGACAATAAAATAACAATGATAACAAGTGAAGTACATAGAGGCTTAAGACATCATGCGTTATATTCTGTACGACCGACATAAATAATAATCATAATCTTGATTAATGTGATGGAGCATAGTATCTTTGGCATTATGCGCTATAAAAAAGGTAACAGTAGGAATTAACCTGTAACTCACAGTGTCAATTACTGCTGTTAAGACCAACATATATTATACTAGCTGATTAACAGGAGGTAGGCAGTGGCTGTGCCAGACTAAGGCATTTCCCCTGTCGTTGAAAACTGCACGTAACATGAATACAAGTGCGTCAAAACTAAATAGATTTGTTGTTCAAAGTGGTGAGATTTTGGGAATGAATCAGCAAAGAAATATGCTTACTGGTTTATCCCCAAAAAAATCTATTTTAGGGCTCAAACATTTCTTTTTAAGTTAGCGGGACATACTTGGGGTCACTTATAGAACACTCTGTGTTGGATGTTGTACATTGGACAAGTTTGAAAGAGATGCAGAAAATAACGTTGATTCAGTGCTAATAATATAGATACTAACAACGATAAATAATAATATAATATTTAATTTCACCTCATTAGTTCATGTTGCCTGAAGTCTGTGCAAATCTCAAAATTATTTCCATCCATATACAGTAGTACTGAATTTAATGAGTACTTGGATAAAGTATCATCATAATTACTTGCAATTATTGCATTCCTGTTTTTAATTAGGCTATTAGGACAATAATTATATCATTGGAATACACTTCTGCAAAAGAAATTGTTTCTTCATATCCAGTTAACAGAAACCAATAGTAACCATTTAAATATCCATTTATATATTCGTCTTTCAGATAGTGTATTAGGGGTAATGACTTATTATCCCACTTTACACACGTGTGCACCAATTAGCGTCTTGCTTTTTCCAAATAATTGTTGCGTGACTGTCGCATCAAGATTCGTTATTCTGTAGAATTCCGCTGTAGTCATTAATATGTCCACCCACACATAAATATTTTACTGGAACGTGGTTTGTTATGCAGATGATGTGTGAGATTTGGGAATAATTTCTGAGTGTTAAATTCACTTAAATATGATAATAAAAATGACTCCACTTTGATGATGCAAAATATATGGCGTTGGACAGGTGGGCTTGATCAAGACTTACACTCAGACACTGAAGGATCTGTCGTGTATTTTGGCCCTGCTTATAATTGTGGAAGAACCCCCAAAATTTATTTAAAATATTTAGTTGCTAATCTTAAAGGATCAAGTAATATAATTATCATTGCAATTTCCTATAAGAATGATTGTAATCATTAATTATTCACAGATTTTTATTTCTTTTATTACAACCATTTTATTATGTAAAAAATACAGGCATGATTATATACATGTTGGCAAGAAAATTTAGTTTTTGTGATTTTAAAAAGATGCAATTGACGGCTGAATCATGTGATATATATAAATAATAAAACTTTTTGAACAAATATTGTGAACAACACTCATCATTAGAAATGCTTCTTTGGGTTGTTCCTGCTTAATGCATATTGTTGATATTGAATAATCGTTGAAACGCCAGTAAACTATTCCAAATTGCTTGGAAGTTACACTGTAGCTATTGGGAAATAGGATTCAGTTCCACATTTCCATGGGAAAGTGGATTCATTTTGATTTTCATTGGTGAACTGTGTAGGAGAATTGTTATGTATTTTTAGGGGTGTATATTTGTGTTTAATGAACGCATCTATGAGGGGTGTGCTTTGTAACAACAAAATCAACTTTACTAAGCCTATAACCACATTTTACATAGATAGCATCATGTGTGTATTTTTGCCTTGATTGCCGCTGCACTTAGAAAGTGACTGAAGCAAGGCTGTGCTATTTGGACAATCACTGAATACAATTTAAAATAATAAGAAAACCAAGAGTGAGTGAGTGCATGGAGGCCACATTAGTTTTAAGAATAAACACGGAATCTACTTAGTCACAACTTCACAAAATTAGTACAGTGGCTTATCTAGGGGTCTTGAAATGGAGGGGCTGATGAGGGAGCGCGAAGCTCTTGCGGGTGAGGGGTGGCTCGATGAATATGTTAGGGGCGTTAGCTCGCAATATATAGGTTATTTTAGAAGAATTTTAACTACTTGAGCGTGATTTTTAGGGTGGTGACAGTGGGGGGGGGGAAGCTTGAGTATTTTCTATGGAGGGGTGTGTGCGCCACTGTGCATACCCTAGATACGCCACTGAAAAAGTAGCCTTTTTTATGCTTACTGGCCTGCATTTATAATGCTAACATAGTCATTTACTCAGATTCTTCCATCATTCTTCCACACATTTCCATTTTTTGCGATAACATTTCCTTTGGAATGCCGTGGAGATTTTGGTTATCTGTAAAAGTTTAGCGGAATTAATACACACAAAAGGTCTGTATCTCGTTTGTGATATGACTTGGAGCTGCAATGCATAGTGTTAAGAGATTGTTTAATACTGAAGATTTCCTATTAAATTTACGCAGTCAAACATATTAATTAGTATTATCAAGCAAAAATAAATTATATGCCTACATTAGTATTTTAATACGTTAATCAATTCTAGAGGTTGAAACCAGTAGGGACCAAGAAATTCTTCAAA